CTATAAAAAGTTCTTTCCTGGTTTATATTTTATCTCAAACTGATATGGCTGTAATCTTATACGCATTCTTTGTAGTCTTACAGGGCATTTATTTAATGGCTTTTTAAAAATTGATTCCAGTGGTTTATGATCACTTTCCACAGTAATATTTTTTCCAAATATATACTGGTGAAATTTCTCACACGCAAATACAATAGCTAAAGTTTCCTTTTCAATTTGAGCATAATTCTTCTGTGTATCTGTTAATGCCTTAGATGCATATGCCACTGGTAAATTATTCTGCAGTAAGACTGCTCCTAGTCCTTCTTGAGATGCATCTACAGATAAAACTACTGGCATGTTTATATCATAATACTGTAAAACTGGTTTATTTACCAAGACATCTTTTAGTCTTCTAAATGCTTTTTCATGTGTTGCATTCCAGTTCCAGATAACTTGTTTTTTCAACAAATCTCTTAAACATGATGTCAATTCTGATACATTAGGTATAAATCTAGAAACATATGTAATCATTCCTAGGAAAGTTTCTAATTCTTTCACATTTTTTGGTGGTTTTATATCTAGAATAGCCTTAATTTTGTCTTCATCTGGTTTTAAACCATCTTTAGAAAATATATGTCCCATATATTTCACTTCATTCAGCCCAAATTTACATTTATTTAAATTAAATTTAACATTCTTTTCTCTGGCTCTGTCCAACAACTTCTTTAATCTTGAATCATGTTCTTTTTTATCTTTACCCCAAACTAATAAGTCATCTATATATATTTGAACTCCTTCTAAATCACTAAAAATTTCAGAAAAACTTCTGTGGAAAACTTCTGGTGATGAACTCAGTCCATATGGCAACCTCAAAAAAACATATCTACCAAACGGAGTGTTAAATGTAGTAAATTCACAACTTGAATCTGACAGTTTAATTTGCCAAAATGCTTTGTTTGCATCTAAAATACTAAAGACCTTTGCATTTGTCATTTGAGATGAAATTTCTTCAAAGGTTGGTATGTGATAATGTTCTCTCAGTATATTTTGGTTAAGGTGCTGAGGATCTAAACACACTCTTAAATTTCCATCCTTTTTCCTTACTACCACTAATGAATTCACGAATTCTGTTGGTTGGTTAACTTTCTTTATAATACCATCTTTTTCCATTCTTGCTAATTCCTTTTTTAATGGATTTAATAAGCTAAGTGGAATTTTCCTACAGGGTTCTATTTTACCAACAGCTCCTGGTTTTAATTTAATATGATATGTATATCCAGTTAAATTCCCAGTTCCTTTAAACAAATCTTGATATCCTTTTAAAAGTTCTGGTAACTTTTCATTAGAATCAGGATTTACTGTACAAATCCTTTGTATTAGGTTTAATTTTTGCAATGTAGGTAAAACTAAAATAGCTGGAACAGTTTTTATCACATGCTGCTACTTGAAATTCTATTTCATCCTTGTCCCCTTTCGATGTTTCACATAATAATTTACATTTTCCAACTACATCAATTGTAGTACCATTGTAATTATTTAAAGTGACTTTTGATTTAGTCAAACATTTCTCTCTTAAATTTAATTGTTTAAATTTAGGCAATGGTAGCACATTACACTGAGCTCCAGTATCCAACTTAACAAATAAATATTTAGATATGTTTACTTTTAGTTTTTCAAACCATTCGGTTTTATTTTTAGAAAATGGATTTATATCTTCTACTGACCCTAAAATATATCATTACCATTATTATGTAACTCATGCTCTAAATTATTCTGTACAACATTAACATTTTTAAAAGTGCACATTTTAGAAAAGTGATTTTTCTTTTTACAGTACAAGCAAATCTTATTATAAGCAGGACAGTTGTATAACTTATGAAAAGTTCCACATTTTCTACATGGTTTTGGATTATTGTACTTATTTCCTTGATAGTTTGAAGAAGATTTAGTACTTTGTTGCTTTTGTTACATGATAGTCTTTCTTACAAGGCTGACTTTTTTTCCTCTGAAGGTCGAAATTTATTACGTTTGATAGCTTCTATTTTTTATTTCTTCAGTTAAAGTTTTCAGCTGAAGTTCTGCTAATTCAGAAGCTTTACACATTTTAATACATTTCTCCAATGTTAAACTGATCTTCCCTTAATAATCTATCTTTGAGATTTTTATTTAGAATTCCACTTACTATTCTATCCTTATTAAACTATCTTTTAATTCTGCAAATCCACAGTTGCTACTTAATTTCTTTAAATCGGTTAAGAAATCATCAAACGATTCACCTACATGTTGTGTTCGACAGAAAAATATATGTCTATCAACACTTTCGTTTGCTTTCGGTATGCAAAAATTTTCGAAAGCTTCAATTACTTTGTCAACATCCTTCTTATCTTCTTCACTTAAATTAAAAGTATTAAATTTTTCAAGTGCTTCTTCACCAATTATATGCAATAAAATAGCTACTTTAATTTCAGGTGATTTAGTAATACCACCAGACTCTAACATATAAATTTGGAATTTTATTTTCCATTTCTTCCAGTTTTCGCTTAAATTTCCTTCGAAACTTAGATTACTTGGTGGCTTTAATCCATCCATATTTAATTTAGGACATTTAAATAGTTTATATATACGTAGCCACTTCCAATAAAAAATAAACAACTCACTTACCAGCGATATAAGTTTCGATTTCACAGTAAACAACTTCCCATGATGTTTTTGTTTAGAACATCTTTACCGAGGCTGCATGGTTCTTCAAAAAAGATTTTCTTTTTTAATCAACGACGGGCTGCGCCAGTGTTGTATTTTATATGTGTTGGGTACTGCTCAGTTATGATTACAAGATGTACACAAACATCGTTTATTCTACATTACTCATCTACTATTCTATATTACAGTTATAGGTTAAGATAATAATAGATACGTTACAGTTACATATATAACATTTACACCCCTTCCCCGTTTAGAATTTAATCTCTGGAGCTTTGCGGATGCGCGAAGCGTCTAAGTCCGGCTGAGGTGCTGCACTCTTTCAGGATCCACTGGATGGCTGGCTCAGTTTTCTTGGAACTGACGATTTCAAGTCCGGATGAAGTTGCACCGCTCCTTCTTGTCAAGACCTGTCCGGGCCGGGTTCATGATCCCATCATCGTCGCAAACTTGTTGTCTAGCGGTGTGTCAGTGAATGCAGACGGAACCAAAACAGAGAGTTACGCACAATTATTTTACTATAAAGCAGCAAGTGCTCTATACGCAGTTACATTTTCTACTTACTCTCGCTCACAGAGGTTCTCGGGTATAAGAGTACTGATACTCTCGAAATCAGATGCTACATCCCTCCCCACTTATTTAGAGATTTAATCTCTATGGAGCTTTGTGGATGCACGAAGATCGTCTAAGTCCTGGCTGAGGTTGCTGCAACTCTTTATCAGGATCCACTGGAATGACTGGCTCAGTTTTCCTTGGAACTGACATGTTTCAAGTCCGGCTGAAGTTTGCACAGCTTCACTTCTTTGTTCAATGTCCTTGTCCGGAGCCTGTGGCTTCACGTTGCCATCTGAAGTAGCAGCCATACGAGGTTCATAGATTATCGGTGCAGACGGAACCTCGCTCCCTACCGATCTGATCTGATCGACGTGCCGGCGCAGTAAAGTTCCTTGAACGTCAATGGTATAATGCAGCGCTCCATCCTTATTTGTCACTCTGCCAATTTTCCATCGGGAATTTGCCGATCTATAATCCCGAAATGGCAACCTTTTCTCCGAATCTCAAAATTTCTGTCTTTGAAATCAATAAGTATTCCTTCGGATGCGTTCTTCCACTCTTCGTCTAAGATTTGGAACAACTAAATCAATTCGAGTTCTAATTTCTCTTTTTAAGAATAACATTGCTGGACTTAACAAGGTTGTCATGTTCGGTGCCTTTCTATAATTCATGAGGAATATGGCAAGTTTTTGCTTAATATTTCCTGGATAACCTTGCATTGCACGTAATGCTTGTTTAACGGTGTAAACGTACCGCTCTGCTTGCCCGTTACTTGCTGGTTTAAATGGAGCACACGTTTTGTGTTTAATTCCATTATTCCTTATAAAAGTTTCAAATTCCCCCGATGTGAACTGAGGACCATTGTCACTCACTACTACTAAAGGCAGTCCGTATCTTGCAAAACAGTCTCTCAAACATTCAATTGTCTGAAAGGAATTTGCTTGACTTTAAGGTATACACTTCTAACCATTTAGAATGTGCGTCAACGATAATCAAGAACATTCGTTCAAAAATAGGGCCTGCAAAATCTACGTGAATGCGTTCCCAAGGCGCACTTGGATATTCCCAGTGATGGACCCTTGCCCTTACTGGATCTGATTTGAACTTAATACAATCGACACAGTTCCTAGAAACTTCTTCAATATCATGATCAATTCCCTTCCAAAAGACGTAGGATCTGGCGATTGCCTTCATTTTAACGATTCCTAAATGTCCTTGGTGTAACTCTTCGAGAATTTTAACTCGGAGTTTTTTCGGAACAACTACCCTCTGACCACTCATTATACAGTCATCTTGTAAGGTGTACTCTGCTTCCCTACCTTCCAAACTTTCTCCAGATTTTAATTTCATATAAAGACTATTTAATTCTTCATCAGCTCGCGTTTCCCGAGCTATCTTCCTAGCTGTTACCGGAAGAGTTTCAATTTGGGAGAGTTGGAATATTTCAACATCATCCTTAATGCTTAAATCTTCGGACTTAAGAGGTAGGCGCGACAGGCAGTCAGCATTACCGTGTTCCTTGGTATTTCGATACACAATATCAAACTGATATGCCTGCAATTTCAGTGCATAATGTAAGAGTCGGGTGGCTGTGAGGATAGGAAGTCCCTCTTTTCGATTTGAAAATAGCCACTAAAGGTTTATGATCTGTCACCAGAGAAAAGCGTCTCCCCTTTAGATATAGATAAAACTTTTTGACAGCCCAAACAATTGACAGTGCTTCTTTATCGATTTGGGCGTATTTCTGCTCTGTGTTAGTCAGTGTCCTCGATGCGAATGCTATAGGCCTTTCTGTTCCATCAGACAAAAACATGCGAGAGCACTGCCCCCAAGACCTACCGGAGATGCATCAGTAGCTAGCATTAACGGTAATGTGGGATCGTAATGCATTAAAACTCTGTCTGAACAAATTTCCTTTTTTATTTTTCAAAAGCGATTTGGCAGTTTTTTGACCAACTCCATTTAACATCTTTTTTTGTTAAATTATTTATGGATGTGCCAAAGTTGCCAGATTAGGGCAATATTTGGCATAAAAATTCACTAATCCCAAAAAGCTTTTGATGTCTTGGACGCTTTTCGGCTTAGGGGCACTAGCAATTGCCGAAATCTTTTCATCCGTTTTATGCAATCCATCGGCATCAATTTTATGCAATCCATCGGCATCAATTTTATGCCCTAAACATTTAATCTCATTTTGAAAACATTTACTTTTAGTTAAGTTTAATTTTAGGCCGTGCTCCTTGCATTTTTTTAAAAAAATATTTCCAATGCTTTTAAATGAGACTGATCATCCGGTCCTGTCACTCGAGCATCATCCATAAAAATTTTAATTCCTTCGATCCCCTGAAATAATCCCTCAACATAGCGCTGCCAAATAGCTGGGAGCAGCATTTAATCCATACATTAAGCGTTTTACAAATATACAACCCCTTATGCGTGTTTATTGTTAATAACCGTTGGCTCTTCGGATGCACCTTCATTTGTAGATAAGCATGACTGAAATCAAGTTTCGAAAAATTTTTACCTCCATTAAGGCATGAAAATATTTCTTCGAGTTTTGGTAATGGATGCTGTGGCACTTCCAAATTAGGATTCAGAGTCACAGAATAATCAGCACAAAGCTAATGGAACCATCAGATTTAACAATTGGCACAACTGGTGTTGCCCATTCTGAAGTCTCAACCCTCAATGATACCTTCTTTCTCAAGCGATCAATTTCTGATTCAACTCTATTTTTTCATGCGAAAGGTACCGGTCGTGACCTACAAAAATATTGGTTGAGTATTAGGTTTCAAATTTAGTTTTTACTTCGTGATTGTTAATTTCACCTAATTTACCGTCAAAAATTTCCTTGTACTCCTCAAGCAATTTTTTTTAAATTCAATTCACTAGAAGTTTTCAATGCTTTGATGGCATTCCAATCGAGATTGATTTTATACAGCCATTCTCGGCCGAAGATTGTGTCTCAATTTTCCTTCACAATGTATAAATTTAAAACTAATTTCTGACCTTGGTATTCAACTTTCACAGGAACATATCCTAAAGGTACCAACTTATCACCTCTGTAAGTTTTAAAAACTAAATTTGTAGGTTGAATCTTTTTATTGGAAATTTTTGTAAATTTATTTATAGACATTACCGAAACTGTTCCCCCAGTATCAAGTTCCATGCTAACTGGTTTGTTTTCAATTTTAACTTGAACCATTATTGGAGGTCTTTTCGGATCTTCCTCTCTTTTAACATGTGCGTTCTGGAGGCTAAATCCATAGATGGGGACCTCATTTTTCGAATCATAATCATTATTTGCCTCAACTTTCTTTGTTTAACCTGGCGGTTTTTCCTAGACAAATAACACGCCTTTTCGATATGTCCAAGTTTTTTTACAAAAGCGGCAATTCACTTGTTGCAAATCTACAGTTGTTTTTATTGTGATTTGCTCTTAAGCAACGCGAACAAGTTTCATTTTTACCCTTATTGTTCTTAGCAACAAAGGTTTGTCTCCGCGGTTTGGACTCATTTTTCTTGGTTTTAAGTACCTTCAGTTCTACGGAATTTCCTATAATCTCATTTGCATCCTTAACCGCCTTTTCCATCGTCAAGGCTATCTTTAATGTTTTCTCTAAATCGATATCATCTTACTGAAATAATCGATCTAAGATATTACGATCTGGTAGACCGCTAATGAAAACATCCCTTAACATGGTATTTAGCATATCCTCTTTATATTCACAAGGAATTCCTAACGAGCGTAATTCAGTGACATAACTACTAATTGGTTCCCCTTCATGCTGTTTTCTATTAATAAACATGTGCCGACTAGGTATTATTAAAGCTTTAGGATTTAAATGATCCTTAAGAACCTTTTTTAGTTCGGTAAAATTTTTTTTCTGAAGGATTATCCGGAGAGAGTAAATTTTTCAACAAATTATACAATTTCGCATTCAAGCTTGAGATCAGAACTTTCCCACGTTTTGCCTCTGGAACATTTTGAATGTCCAAAAAAGCCTCAAATCGTTCTATGAACGAATCAAAATTTTCTACCGTTTCATCGAACTTATCAAAAGAAACATAAATTTTGTCTTGTTTATGTTCCGATTTCTCTTGCAATGCGACCATTAAAGCTTCATTCTCCTTTATTAATTCTTCAATTAACTTCTCCATTCTTTCAAAATAAAAATCAAATGACTTTCCTACCTTTTGCAGTTATCGGGGAATCCCCTAAATCCAAGTTTTGGTTTTGCCACTACTTTTACGCATGTAACCGAGTGCGCCGAGTCGGAAACGATTTTCTTCTCACACAGCCTCGTCGCCAACTTGTTGTGTCTAGCGGTGTGGGTTCAGTGAAATGCATGACGCAACCAAAACAGACTAGTTCACGGCACAAACATTTATTTCTAACAAACTAATAAGACAGCAGCGATGCGCTATTTACGCAGTTACATTACATTCTACTCTACTCTACTCTCGTTCACAGAGGTTCTCCGGTATAAGAGTACTGATACTCTCGAAATCAGATGCTACAAGCCACAGACCGCATGCGGCTCTCGAAGTAATTTTATGCTGCCTGTGAATACATTTTCTGTAAATTAATTTGCATTATTATAACAAGAGTTTGAAGAAAATGTTTTAATGGTCTGATGTCCAGTTTTACGTTATATTCATTACCAAAAACGAACGTAACTCTTCGGGAAATTCTAGAAACACAGCTAATTATTTTACACTGTGATATAAATCTTCTTCAAAGATTTGAAAATACAAATTTGATTAACTTTTATCAGTACTTGTAAGATGATAAATATCTTAAATTACGAATTTTCGCAATAAGAATACTCGCTTTGTTTTTGAGTACATTTACAGTGTTTTATATATATATATATATATATATATATATATATACAATTTTTGACGATACATTTTAGTAATTTCCCTCCTCATTCAAGAAAAAACAAAGATGCTTACAATAATTTACATAAAAATATTATTTTTTCTGTTTCGCATCATAGAAAAACCTAATAAATAAAAGAAAGAGACTACGTTGTCATTATTCGTTCTCAAGATTTGTCTCTCTTGGGAAGCTGTAGTATATTTCTTCTTAGTTTAAATTAAAGGTAAGTTACTTTAAATTAAAAACGTTTTACTAGATATTTGTAAAAACATACGAATAAAAATAAAGCAAAGAAAAATATCGAATTTATATTTATATTTTGCTTGAAATCTAGAAGTTGGGATGTGCAAGAAATTTCTGTTGGTCCCTATTTGGAATTCAACAGAGAGTTAAATATTCAAATTTGACAACTAAATATAAACATTTTCAAACTTGCATTTATTCAGTTAATGGCAATATATTGAACTACTTAATCAACAAATTTCTTTTTGTTAAAAAATAAATCTCGCCCTCCCTTTTTTTTCAATTGCTGCCCATCAGCTACTTTGAGATTGTGCATTAGCCGGTGTGCAATGCAAATCTGAGACCACTTTGCAAAGTATCATTTATGTAATATGTCTTCTTGCGTTGCAGCAAAGTGCCAATAAAATTCATGGAAATGAGAAAGATAGTGATATTGTATTTCATATTTTTTTAGAGAATAATTCGCTTCTGGATAAAAAGAATGTTGAAAGAAGAATGCATGAACTTGCAACGAACATTTTCTATGCTGTGATTATGAAGATGACATGAAAAATTGTTTACTTGACTTGCCAAAAAAGAAACTTTTAAAATCCAATACTGTGTCAAGAAAAAGAAAAGTAATACGGAGGGCTTTTGAAAGACTACACGAGTTAAATTTGAAGAAAATTCATTTTGAGGCCGATTACGAAAATGATGATAGGAATAATTAATCAAATACGAATGATTTTATGGTAAAAAATCAAATAACATTGTAAATATTGCTGAATGCGGTAAGTCTAAAAATAAACAAAAATGTATTGATAATTTGTAAAAAAACAAAGCTAGCTCACCATTTTAGGTATTTTGTAATCGCATAAAACGTCAAAATAATTTCGCATAAAAAAGATCTTCCTCCTTTGTCCCTCTTTTCAAAGATGAGGTAATTCTCCCTAGATACTGTGAGCAAAGTTGTTTTGTCAAACTTAAGACAACGATCTTGTATTTATTTAAATGTAATGTAATCTATGTGTATAAATGTCAAAAAATTATTTTTACAATATCATTTACTATACCAAATCGGAAGAGAAACAAGTTAATGTAAAATTTATAATTAAGTCAAAAAAACAGTCTTAGATTTGATTAAATTTTGAATAAAACTTCCGATTTCAAGGGCAGTCAAACATAATTTCCTGTTCTTTAACTTCAGAAAAATATTGACACATGTATTCAAAACTACGCAAATCTAAGGTTTTCTTTTGCCTAACATTAAAAAACTGTTATTACAGTATCTTAGAAAGAGTATAGATTCTCCCACTTAATTTGCAGATGAAGTAAAGATAATGAATGCCATAGTTTTTTTTTCTTCATGATTTAATAATAAATGCTCAGAGAAAAAACACACAGCTTTTAAGAAAACGTAGCGTAAGCGTATTTGTTTCGAGGCGGGACTCTCTATGAGCTAGCCCTTCTCTTCTAAGTCCTGGTCTTATACAGCAAACTCATATATGTCAGCAGAACGTTTTTCATTCGGTAGACAGGGTTGGCGCCAAGGGGAGGTTGTCCGAAAACTGCCTATGAAATAGGATCCAAAAGTAATTCCCTTTGTTTTTTGTCATAAATGAACATTACTTTATATTTTTAATACTAATTTGCCTAGATAACGGAAACAAATCAGCAATCAGTTACCAAACAAAAATAAACCCATCTTAATCACCCTTTTCCCCATATTTTTTCTCTTCTCCCTAGCTGCTGTTCCTCATATGATATTTACTTCCGTTGACATTATAATATATCGCCCACAGCCTTAAAGGAGCCAAATTGTCGCCACCAAGTCTGTACTTTAAACTTTACTCGTTTCTGTGTCACACATTGACAATTATATAAAAGGGAACGTTTATAATCTGTAAATAATATCTGTTAATTTAAAAATATTCAGACTAAAAGGCGCTGAAAATTGTTGCTTTCATATAGCCTTAAACTTCAAGAGTATAATAAATCCAAGAACCACTGTTAGAAAGTGTCTGTTAGCTATATTAACACTTGCTCTTACATCATTGGTCTCAAAGACGATATAGAGATGATGTAGGTACACCTCCAGCCATGACGTAAAACACACTTCTGGTTTTCGATTTGCGAACTTGCAGCTTTTCACGGTCTACTAAAGACATATGCCGTCCAAGCAGTACATTGGTTAGAGTCGCTGACTGCCGTGTCCAAGGGCCCGATATCAAATCCCGGAGAAGTCATGGATGTTTGTAAATGTATACTGCCCTTGAGGCAGGGGGGAACTCTAAATATGCTGCGAGCCGAAAGTCCTCTCGAAAGGTTGATGGTAGGGAAAGAGGGGTGGGAGACCTTCGGATTCGTCTTTCCGGGATGCTCTCCATTAAAATTGGGGGCGTAACTGAGTCAAATCGCACTGACACCTGTTAGGTGCTCAAGACTGTTGCCAACTCCAGGCGTAATCTAGCGCTCATTGCCACGAGGAATTTCGTGGGCTTTGGCTAACTACGTCCGACAAGTGAGCATAAGCAACAACAACAACACCACATACAATCTACCGAAATCCAACATATAATTCGAACACTAACGCTGTTCAGGTCTCTTTCCATTAGTTCAGTCTTTTTCTAATCATGTGACCAACTGTAGTTCTCTCATTCACTACAGCTAATCAATGAGCTCGAAGCAGCAGTTCACAGTAGCCCGAGAAGAAAAAGAGAGTTTACGGAAGAGCGTTCTGTAAACTGCTAATAGCAATTACACAGTTGTAACAAAGCAGCGGTTTTGCGAGAGACCTTAATGCTACACGCAATTCAGTTCATTTATAGCTGGCACTTTCACTCATTAGCGTGGCGGATAAAGAACGGTATTGTGATCTTATCTTACGCATCCGAAAATGGAGTTGGTAAGTTTTTCTAAGATTTTTTTTATTTCATTCAAGGAGATGTAATTATTGCTGTACTATTAAAGCAGAAAGAATTTTAAAATCATGCACAGAATTTTATTTGAAAAAACGAACTTCGAAATTTCAGTTTCTTTCTTGAAGGCAAGTTCTATAGTGTCTTCACAGCATGAAATCGAGGGCTATTTTGCTGCTGAGAAAGATGAAATGAAAATTAGGAAAAAAAAAAATCTCCCAAGGAAAACACATGCCTTGCATGTTTTAATCATATTTTGAAAAATAATGAATTTTACATTAAAGTGTGAAATAAAAATAAATTACTTTTGGATGTCCATTGAGATGGCTTTAACGTGAGAATTGCATTATGAAATTCCTAATAGTGTAAAGGGAGCTACAGTCGTTATGGAGACTATTTCTATTAAAAGAGATGAAGCTAAGCAAACTTTCAGCTTCATGAACAGTATTCCCACAGTATGATCTCCTTTAACTCACAATAAATTTCAGATCTAAAAGGCAATCTTAAGTAGAGAAACTTTTAGAATGATGTAAAAACTTTTCGAAAATCTTTACATAGTTCTTAAAAACATAGTTATTAAAACCTTCAAAACATCAACTTAAAGAATAATATAGTGTGGTGTTATTTCTGGCATAAAAATTACGCATATAATGAAATTTATACGATTATTTTATATAACTTTTATATTTTTTATTTCAATTTTTTCATGTACAGTTATTCGTATTTTTAGTGTAAGTAAAAGTTAAAATATTTAATTGCAATTTACCATTTTGTTTTTATGAAATAAAGCGTGAGCTCATCGTTAACATTTTCATAGCTCACCACTGGATTTTTTAATCAAAATTTTATATAGGTTGATAAATTAAAACGTAATACTAGCAAAAACTACAGATTATAATGCATTATATAATTTTTTTTATAAATTCTTGAAATTTGTCAATTTTAAGTTTTTTAATACTACATTTTAAAATATTTTTTGCATATGTCGTCATATGTGTCATTACAAAATATAACTTGAAGTTAGAATATTTCAGTTGATTGTTTTCTGTGTACAAATAATTTGTTTTTATTCCTTTAATATTTCATCAAAATTTATTAACCCATTAAATACTGCATTGGTCCTAAGAAAAGCAAATTAAATTTTCTGTGTAACATGTTAGATATTGTGAAAACATAATATTAGTGAAACCTTTGTAGAACAATAAATGAATGTTAATTATAACTAAATGCATACTTATCCTCAGATACCCACCCGTTTGACATTAAGCCATTTTCGACTCTTTTATGTTATGTCGCGAATTTCAATTATTAATAGTGTTTCAAGTCATTATTATTCTAATGTTTTTATTTGTATTCATGTGTATTTTAATCTGGAAAAAAGTATTCTTAAGCTCTTAAGGTGTATTTAACTTGTTATTCTTGAGTAGGAATTGTAACAAAGGCGGGAGACGGTTGCAAGGAGACACATCTTGTTTATGGCCTTTTAACAATGGAGGCAGTAGGGTATGTGTGTCGCCCTTTTTTAGCTAATGCGTGGGAAACGGAAATTGTCTTCCTGTCGCTTTGTTAAAGTTTGCAGTTTTCTTACTTCAAGACAGTAGGAGGTGTACTAAGTTAGATAATTGGATGCTCGTAAAAGCTAGTTTCGCTTGTTAATTGGGGGGTCTATTTTCTTTTTGTCACGTTATGAGTGCAGATGTTTTTCGGATTTCATTTTCAGATTTTCTGGTGTTTGATTCGTCATGGGCGTGTCATTTTCTCAATTTGGATAACATAAAATTCCGGGATTGGTAAGATTTAATTTTATGATTTTTTTCAAAGCCTATGAACTCACAGAGGCAGAGAAACCGAGATTTCCTGGTTGCTTGCACAAGGCTAGAGATCATTCTGTTCTGTTTCCTGATTCTTTCAAGCTAAGAGTAAGAAGAAAACGAGTGGCGGGGGCTTGACCCCTTGCGGGTCTTGCTCTCGCGAATGCCGTGTACCAGCGGGCGGCGGTCTTGAATTTCTGTCGGCTTTCAGCTGATGAGAAATTTGCTCGAGTTGAGACTAAGTGCTTATGCAAAATATAGCTTGCTGCGGCTTCGTTATATTTTTCCAAGAACTTTAATTGGACATTCTCGAGGTTACCTTAATACAGGTGTTCGTCCCGGATCTCCCTACCTTTTTTAATACCAGTATTTCTTTTCCTGGGGGTCTTGAATTTATTGAAGTGCTCCTGATTTAAAGGAAGCATCCTGATACCTGTGTTTTCCTTGAGTCTTGATTTTGATGAAGGCGTAGCGTTCCTGGTTTAAAAGCAGCTGAACTATCTGTTGAACTATCTAGAACTCCGTAATAATCAGTCGATGATGGCATTCCCGATTTCTTCGAAGGATCAACAAAATGAGTTGGACAATCTGTTGAACTATTAACACTCCATAGTAATCAGTCGATGATGGCATAGGAGTTTAATGTATGAACTTCACCCTGTGAGTGATTTTTCCTTTTTGTCTTTTCTATTTAAACTAGTGAGTTATGTAATGTAAAAAAATTGTACACCTAACATGAGTATAAGATTTAAAATGATATATATGTTAATTTACCTCTTAAGGTTAATTTGTAGAGGACTGATCAGTTTACCTAGTTATCATATGTTTGAATATTCTAGAAATTAATAAATGTGTTAGTTATATATACTATGTTTCTTTTGTTCAATTTAGTGCATAATTTACTGTGGTCTGTCATGTCCCTCCATTTGTTTGAGCCGGGAGGCTTTTAAGAAACATGGAGTTTAATTGAATTTGGAGTTATTGATATTTCCTTTTGCATAGGTTACTCACAACGCAAACCTAAAAGTTAAATTGTATACCACTATACGATTGATTTGATTGATTGATAGATTTACTATACGAATGTTTATAAGAATGTCGAAATGATATATGAATATTATGAATTAGATTTTGAATGTGAATTATATGTTATTTGGTATTGTTTTTGGTAATTTTTTCCGGCATCATGAATAAAAGTTATAAAAACATAAACTTAATTTTTTTCTATATAACATTTACAACAATGGTATAATGAACTAAATGACGTTAATTTATTAAATATGCTTGTAGAATAACAAGAGAGTCCTTTTTATACAGTTATTCTGCCACTATGAATAATTATTCCAAATGAAAAAAAAAAAAAAAAAAAAACAGTTACCAAATCAGTTTTGATATGAAGAAACAATTGTGATGATACATCATGTAATGGTAACTTCATCCAAAGATTCTGCAGCAGAGTAAAGTGAGAAACCTTCTATAAAATGACCAAAAAGCTTTGAGACTGAGAAACATTATTACCATCTTTCGTAACTAGTATTCATTAGCAGTGGAGTGGATAAGACTTGGGGCACTAGTGTCTGAATCTTGATAGACAGGCTAGATGCATAGGATTTTTCTCGTGTATTGCATGAACAGGAACCATTTTATTTTATATGTATTTCATAAAAGTGTTCTTTCTCTCAAGAAGATACTGTTTTCATACTTTGCAATAATCAATTAAGCATATATAGAGAAGTATTTTTATTTACTCCCACTGGTATAGAACTCAAGAAAAAAATTCGGAAAATCTTTTATCAGCTAAAATACTTTTATACATGTTCTGGTTTAAGAGTATACAAAATTTATTTACCAAAAAACAACAAATTAATTTTTTGTATTTACATCGCTACTGAAAAATACAGAATTGTGAAACTTCACCAGAACTCCATAATCAGAAATGACAGCAGATTATAAGCTCATAGGCAGTAGATATGTAGGCTACAGAATAAAATGTTTTGCTCATTACGAAATAAAAATTAGAAATCCAATGGTGATAACTGTAACTGGAATATTTCATTGGTAAAGAAAAAACAAATGCATAAGATCTCGAATAAACTTATAGAATTTTTGAAATTTTATATTTTTTATCTCCCGCTCGTAAAAGGTCATTTTTGGATCACCCAGCTTCTGTTTTGCAACATTCATCAATATTTTTTCTGAATCTATGTTTCACGATTACCTTTTAAAGATTCGAAATCTGTGGAGTTCTTACTCAAAACACGAGCATACTGTTTCAAGTCTCTGGAATTTTCTCCTACGTCCTATGGATTTATATCTGATCATATAAGTAATTGTACTTAGAAGTACCTAATCTTATTTTTTTAGCTTTAATTTTCTTCCTTGTACTGTTTTGCAAAAGTGTTTAATTTGATCCTCACCGTGAAGTGGCTAGTGTAAATTCCAGTATTTCCATCTCTAATTGAAAGACATTATCCAAAAAAGGGGAAAAAATTAAAAAGAAAAACTTTTATCATAACAGTAAATATGAGATAATACACTGGTGTGCAAAAATTAAGGACGAGACGGTTTTTTCAATATAACTTTGTACAAAAGCTTTCCAAATCAACACATTTAATACCGTAAGATCCCCAATACGTAAGGACATGAGTAATGTCCTAATTACTAAAAGAGAAATCAGAGGGATAAAAAGAAGCTTTATTGAAAAAGTAGCATGGAGCGCAATGCGACTGAAGGCGGAAACATCCCTGTGATGGGTGTCCAACAAGAAACATCCGGTCTTTAATAAGGGATATGATCTCCCCTGACTGCTAGGCATGTTTCACAGCGTCTGTTCATGCTGAGAATGAGGGTGTCAATGAGTTGTTGAGGCATTGCTGCCCATTCGTCTTGCAGCGCCAATCGAAGCTCCGGAATCGTTACTGGTGGTAAGGTACGAGCTGCCAAGCGTCTGCATAGAAAATCCCATACATGCTCGATGGGATTGAGATCCGGAGATCGTGCCGGCCAATCCATACGTTCAATATCCTGACTCTCTAAGAGCTGTTCGGCAGCTACTGTGCGATGACATGGTGCATTGTCGTCCATGAAAAGGAACTGCGGACCCATAGCGCCTCTAATCTAATCTAATCTAAGAAAATAAGCCGTACCGCCAAAATTGGCACAACCGGCAATTTAAAAGAAACAAACTGAAAGATAACTGGATAAACACTACAACAGAATAAGAACTACTTATCCAAAAACTCATCCTCCGCTGGAGATGTGTCGGCGCAGCCCAACGGGTCATCTCGACCTTCATTCAGAATAGAAACCACCTATTTCTTAACATAAAATGACTAAATTGAACTCTAGACAACTGCTAACCTAAACAACAATTATAAAATACAAATATTGCCTAGCTTAACGAACAATAAGCATTTACAGTTTTCAGTAAATTATATATTGTATGTATACAAATTACATTATAATTTATGCAATTCAACTCAAAAATTTAAGCAATTAAACAAAAGGATCGAAATATACATAATTATTCAAATTGGTAATAATTTTATAAGTCCTAATTTAGCTTTATTATTGCTAATAGATATTTTTCATTATTTATAGATATATTTCGAAAATATTCTCCTCTAATTTCCTTCGTTAAGGCACAGTCCCAAATGTAATGTCCATTAGATGCTCCAGATGCATCCTGACCACATCGGCAATGAATATCTTTCCCATGAAACCTTTTTAGATATTCTGGAAATTGGCCATGTCCTGTTATCAATTGATTTAGCAATCTATTGTAACTTAATCTTTGCTCTTTGACAACAGGAAATATTTTATAAACCTTTCGTCCAGTTTTGTCATAATGCCATCTTTGTTGCCATGTGTGAAGAATCTTGTCATGTAGTACACTCTTAATATAATTAAGAGATAAAGGAACCGTGATATCAATATCTGTATTATAGCATGCTTCCTTAGCAGCAGAATCTGCTGCTTCATTTCCATGAATATTCGAATGTCCTTTTATCCAATTTATATGTAATTTCATTTTTGAATTAATATTGTGTATATAATTTCTGACTTTATCTACTTTTGCAGATAAACATTTTCTAGAATTAAGAGCTCTAAGGATGCTCTGGGAATCTGTGAACACCGAAATCTCCCAATTTGTAATATATTTCTCATTTTCTTCCTCATTAGCCCATCTTATGGCGTTTTCAAAGGCAATAAGTTCTGCATCAAAAATAGTTGAATTATTATTCAATCTTAATTTAGATTTATATACAAATTTATTATTATGCAAAAGCAACAAAAGCTGCTGCAACATTTTTATCAATCACGGAGCCATCAGAGAATAATTCCAAACCAACACCAGTTGGAAGAAGTGTCTTCCAGGTAACCTCTTTAAATTGTGCCGGATGGAAATAAAACTTTTCTAATTTTGGATCAATTTCTCTATTAGAAATCTTCAGGTCACAATAATCTATATTTATCTTCATATGAACAGCTTTATAAATAAGCGTTTCAGCTTCAGCTACTAAGTCTATAGGCGTAACCCCAGCTAAAATCTGTAGGCTGGTGGTAGAGACTGTTCTGTAGCATCCCGTAATGGGTAGCATTGCAACCCTCTGAATCTGTAGCAATTTATTTATCACCCTTTCCGTTCCAGTCCACCAAACGGGTGAGCCATACAAGATTATTCGTTTAATTCCTCTATTGTATAATTCTTTTAAAATACTTTTACTTTTAAAGGAATCCGTACATTAATAATCTATTCATCTTATTCATAGTCTTAAAAATTTTTTCTTTCAATTTAGTTAAATGTGACAACCAACTTAAATTTGTATCCAAGATTATACCTAAGTATTTAAGTGTTTTTTCGCTGCGGATTCTTTTTCCATTCCACGTCAATAAAGGTAATCTGATTAAGTTTGAGCCTTTTGGAATTGTTATCATAGCCATTTTATCTTGACTAATATCCAGCTTATTTACTTTACACCAGTTATAAAGTTTATCTAGAGCATTCTTTGCTTTTTCTTCTATAATTAATCTATTACTTACTTCCAGAAATCACCAACACAAAATCGTCAGCATAAGCCTGCAAAAATACATCCTTTTCAAATTTCAATTGTAAGGCAGTATCAGCCACCAGGTTCCAAAGTGTAGGGCCTAAAACAGAGCCCTGAGGAGCACCTTTATTATAATATTTATCAATATTTATATTATTTCTTCTGTAAATAATTTTCCTATTATTTAGATAACTATTCATAATATTGAAGAGGTTTTGAGGACATTTTTAAATCTAGAAGTCTTGATTTGATGCTGGGCCACCATAAGCTATTAAAGGCATTGCTAATGTCGATTGCAATCAAAGTAGTATGTAAATTCTTTATCTTATTAATTCTTATAGTGTCAATAATATTATTAATTGCCAAGATAGTATCTTTTCCTGGCGTAAATCCATATTGATTTGCATTTAGTAGATTATTGCTACCAAGAATATAAACAAGCCTATTGTTAATCAATTTATCGAGAACTTTACCCAAAGTGGGTAACAAACAAATC